TATATATATATATATATATATATATATATATATATATATATATATATATATATATATATATACACTTATATATCGTGTAGCATACAGCTACCATGGCTGTTTTGTGCTGCACAAGCTGATAAAGCTTATTTAGGACGATGAGAGGAGCACAGAGGGGTACGCACTTGGGGTAGTCCTGGAACTTGGTGAGCGCCTTCAGGATTTGGTCTCGAATCGGCGTATTCAAGTACTTCTCCGATACTTCATTCTCAGCTGCTACAAATGCCTTTGTTTCCTCGCTTTCCGGGTCTTCAAGCCATCTGCAAGCGCAGCAGCCGTAGCCTCTGCACCTTTTTCTGCAAACTTCCAAAGCCAAGCACGTACAACTGTAGAATGCAGTGGAGACATTTAACGCGGAATCTAACCAAATTTATATGGAGCATATTATATATATACCGGTAAGGGTCTGCTACGCTCGTGCCGAAGTGGTCCTCAACTTCCTGCCCGCGACGGGCCTGAGGATACGAAAGCATTGCTTTGGGCACCATCTTCCGTAAACCTGATAGATAGGAAACAGCACAGAAAACAGCAGGAGATAATGCTGGGTAATAAAAGGCAACAAGAGGGGCAGAAGGCTGTGTGATAGGAAGCGCCGAGAAAGGTACAAGACTGGGTAACAAGAAACAGAAAGAATGACACAATGCTGGGTAATAATAAGGAGCAAGAAGGTGATGACGCTCTGAAGTAGGAAGCAGCAATACGGGCGCAAGGCNGCTGGGTAATAATAAGGAGCAAGAAGGTGATGACGCTCTGAAGTAGGAAGCAGCAATACGGGCGCAAGGCTATAAGCAACAACTAGAAGAGCAAAGTGCAGTGTCCTATCAACAGCAAATGTCATCCGTATTGCTGGCTCTTTAAACACTAAATCATAAGCCCTATTCATAAACGCCCCTTCCTCCCGCAAGAATTGTGCCGTGGATTGCTAGATAAGATGCATCGGAAACTTCAGAACCCCGTCCAGCGCACGCAAATTCTCTGACGAGGTGAGATGCGCTTCAAAACATCATGAGGGGAATCTACAACGCATTCGTCTGGAGATTTCATGCAGAGAGAGGAGACCCAGTCGCCCCAGCAAATTTTTCTTACCTTGATTCCCCAGTGTACGTATTTGTGTGAGATACGAGCGGAAACCTCCACCCTGCGTCAAACATGAAGCGAATAATGTCGTTTTTCATACATTTTCGCACGCTCTTGAATGCAAGTTGAGACTGGAAGCTGCAGCTACGTCGCGCGAGAGGTGGTGATGCTATGCTGCTCGCTGGTGAACCACCTACCGCGTAAGATGCGTATGCAGAAAAGAAGCAGAATCTATTCCCTAAGCGGAGTCCTGGCCTACAAAAGCCCGAGAAAATGACCATGTTCGCTCCGTTGTAAATGACGATGTTGATTTCCTCATAGCAGCCACTAGGGGAGCAGCGACAGGCAGAGCTCGTTCATGCGGGCCCCACGTGCACCGGCAGATCTAGAGATAATCACAACCTTCTTTCAAACCTGTTGACAATATTCAGGAACACAAATGAGTGTAAACAGGTAGTTCAAAGGGAATAGTCCTACCTGTTGGCTTGGGGCCCCCCGCCCCCCTGACACCGTGAATTGTTCGGAATCGTATCTTCCTCGGCACGATCGTCAAAGCCGTACACGCCAAGAACGACACAGGCCAAGATAGGGGTTTTACTTGAACAGCTTTAATCAACACGAATCCCGCATATGTGCACCGGCCCCCAAGCTGAACCGGGGTGTCGGGTGTTGGCCAGTGCCGAGAGACCTACTCCACAGCTGAAAATTCTGGGCCGGAGTATCTATACACCACTAAGTACATATAGAACACTTTTAAGGTAAAGTATAATGACTCACACCGTGGAGACATTTGGGTCATGGGAAGAGCTTGACGAACAACAAGCTGGCTGCGTGCTACGTAGCCAAACGCACACATAGCGCCCACGGGCACTCGGGAAACCTCTAAATATCCAATCTCGTCGTACTGCTCGCATGATTATCACCGTATCCATTGTGACTTCTGTTCCTTTGGATATAGCGGAGGTGTCTCATGTGGCCCTAAATATTCCCTCCGTCTTGCAAACCAAGCCTCATCTAGTCAGAAACCCGTCAGCTACCTATTTCAAGTTATTAAGGAGCCATTGTCACACCTGTACACGGCACCGGTAAACCGACTTTTGCACTGGCCCATAGGAAAATCGAACTGGCGTCCAGGATGCTTTCCTGGTAAGCCTCATATGAGAAAGGGAGGGCTGCAGTAACTACGAGCGCAACTGCTAGAAAATGCATAGCTGTTCGGTAGAGTGCAAAGTTATGTGCAAAACTAGCGACTCAGCAGCTATCTTTCCACTACGTTTAAAGGCATAGCCCATGGAGCTCAGATGACGAAACAGCCATTAACGCATGGTTTGCCCTAAACAATTATAGTAGCGAAGGAGCATATCTGCTGCAAACCTTATTGGTGCTGAAGCAAAGTTGATCCCTAAGAATTCAACTCCAATAGAAATGGGCCAACACCGAAGATACAACTCCTTAAAAACAAAAAATTTATGAAAGTATCAGGGTCGCTGAGAGTGCTAGGAGGTTCTTGCGGAAGCCAGGAGACTACGGAGGGGCGCAACCGCAGTAGAAGTTACAACCCAGCAGACTGTATATTTGTGCTGAGCCTCTGTTCTGTTGCTGTCGCGTAAGCAACAGCCCCTATCAGTTGGACGACCAGGCCAGCTCAGGCATTTGCAGAATCGTAAACACGAGGGTGTAGGCAATGCAGAGAGTGAGAAGAATATCCGGACGTGTAGCTGCATGGATCCATTCTGAAGTAAACAGTGGCCAAATCAACAGATGACTTGTTGCAAGATGCGCTCACATGTTTATGCGTTGATGGGGCTTCCAATGCAAAACGGTAGGCACAGCCACTGTGTGCATGACAGGCTTTGTGCAACACGGGAGAAAGACATTTCTGAATGCAACTCCGACGACTGTCCTCATGGAATGTCTGGGGCAATACTGAACTCCTTTGAGCCCTGCACTTCCACCTGAAGCAGCAGTTTTCTCTGCTCAGTAACTGCAGAGGCGACAGGGTGAGGAGCATCAGCTGCTGCCCCGCTGATGACGAATTGGCCGTAGGAGGATTCGGTTAGCTGCGTTGTTGCAGGAGGGCCCCATTGGTCTTTCTGTGGTTTGCTGTTGCGGTCATATCCAGCTTTGAAGATCGGCTGCTGTGTGAGACACTTCGGCGTTGGTATGCCCAGCTCGAGGGGTCGATATTTCTTTTGGGAGCAGCATAATCCATGGAGCGCTGGCCCCCTTTTTTGAGTGCTTCATTACGCGCAAGGCGACAGGCTGCCCCCTGTGCTGCACAAAGCCCCCCTCCCTTCCTGAGGATGCCTCCCCCGTTTTTGAACATTCGTTGGCATACGCCTTCGTGTTTCTCAAGGGCCTCGTCACGGCCGAAGGTGCGGCCGCAGTGTTGACACTGTTTGTTGACCCCCATGTCGCTGCACTTCGCGAAAATAGCCTGCAGGTGGACGCGGTCAACGACAGGTTTTCAACAATGTTTAGTATAAACAGCAACCCAATATCAAGTGAGATCTTATCTGTACAGTTCTATGCAATTGAAAATAGCATATCTGTTTGAATTCGATCTAAACCACCACCCCACTCCTTTCCGTGTATACACTGCGTTCCGCTTTGGATTACACTTGGCATATTGGGGTCAGGAGCTTGCCTGAGCTTCCGCTATCTCCCTAGGGTCACCTGCCCTCGCCATCCTCATGGCCGCTCGAAACTGTGCACTCTGTTGAGGGGACGCAGCAGCAAAAAGGGGAAAGAGGCTCAGAGCATGCTTGAAGCTTGTGAACTGAAATATTGTTGACCCGGCACAGACAAACCTCGAAAATGCAACTCACCTCACGCTGCCATTTCTTCTCTGTTCGCCTTTCGAGCCTGAGGAGCAAGCAGCTCAATGGAACCGTGCGAATCAGGTTAAGGTCCCAACTTAACCTGACTCCCCAACCGTGCTGCGGAGTGAAACATATGCACCACCGCCTCGGTAGGTACCGTGCTGGCAGTAGAAACGACACATCTCGGCACTTACGGCTTCGATGAAAGCTCCCCTCGCAGTTTCTGCACCGTCGAGTGGACAGGCAGCCCTGCGTCTTCGACGACGCTTGCTAAGCGCTTCCTTGTCATGTCGTACTGCTTCCGTCGTGTGAAGAAGACCTTCCCAGATCACGCGCAAGCACTCACGGCGCCCGCGGCTATGAATGAGAAGAAAAGACTTTGAGGGCCAACAAGCCATTTAACTGAAGCCGTGTGCCTCTTTACAGTTAAGGGTGACTCCATGCACTGTCGTATTTGCCAAATACAGGGGGCGGCACCGTGTTGGATGGATATCGATAAACAGCCATGCAAAGACTGAGGCTTTGTGTCAAACCCCAAATCTCCCTACTTACCTTCACGCAAACCTTAACATGCTTCTCAAAGGACTTGCTGGCGAAGGTACGGTGGCAATAGGGACACTGAAATGAACCGCACAGTCACACGGGAGTTCAGAGGGGTCCACCAATGGCTAGTACAGCAATGACGCCAATATGCGGCACTAATAATTGTCCCTTTGTTCCTTTAGGCGTAAGACGAGGAGTGTTTACGAACGAAGAGTGACGGAAACAAAGTGGCTAGAAGGTGGTGAGAGAGCCGACTTCTTGGATCTCTTGGGGTTCATCCCCAGCGTGCGCTTCGGGGGGGAAGGGGGCAATCTGGTCCGCTTGGCTTCCGGAGAGAAATTTCTCGATTAGAGGATCACCTTGCGGCGTTGCGCGCTCGAATGTCCCTCGACTCGCCAGGAATTCAAATTGGTCGCCTGTATTTTGCTGGGGCCGCGGGTAGCTAGCAACTGCACGGGGGGTTTCTTTGGAACCCGATGGGGCATACTTTGTCCCCGGGGCTCTATTCAAAGCATCTGATAGGCGTTTTGTCGCTAGACTTTGCGTTCTGCTTGAAGACGGCTGGCTTTCCGAGTATGGGTCAGGTTGACGAGCTTCTGTGTTGCTTCGTTGCCGAACGGTTTCAGCAGTTTCGTGGGCGGATTTCATGCCTGCTATCAAGGCCCGAAACTCGCCTTGTTCCCACGCTGCAGGAGGCCGCGAGCCCTGAGGCCAGCCAATGTTGTCGCTTCTCTTGGGAGACCTGTCACCATTGCCTTTGGGACATGATGGCGGAGACTTCCCTAGTGCAGCATGCGGAGCAATACGAGCAATCGCGACACTTCTTCACCCCCCACCAAACCACAAAGCATTCAAGCTGCGTGCAGGCACGGATAAACTACTCATGCCGAGAAGGTTCAACCTACCAGATGCGCCAAGGGAATCTGCCCGACTGTCTATCCGGCGATCATTCAGCCTGTGCATTCCACTCAATCCATGCATCATCCTACAGGCCGTCAAGAGGGCAACACTCTTGAACTGCGATTTCTGTTATCCTTGGTTTGCAAGAACTTTAATTCTAAGGTGCAAGCTGTACGGTATCTGTTGCATGCTATCCTCTCGTCGTAACGGAAATACTATTGGCTGATCAGTGTAGGCTGGGAGGCGACTTTACTCGCCTGAATTGTCGGGATCGTTGACGAGATTGACTACCGCGAATAGACTGCTTCAACAAACGAATCAGGCGCGTAGCTTGCAAGACCTCTTGGGGCGTGAAAGTGTCTATGTCGTCATCATTTTGATCGTATGAATCTGCACGCATGCGATCTACGGAGGAAAAGTACCACCTAGCCATCTGTTTACCGCTTGCAACATTCAACACACATGCTTTTTCGGCCGCAAAAGGTTCGATTTTTGCCGAAAGTTGCAACAAGATAGGTACGTGGGAGGTATTTCAGCTTGAGGCGGATGTTAAGGTCCCAAGTAACGAGAAGAAAATGCCGGGTTTATTCCCCGGAGGATGCAGGATAACAGTGAACTCTAGGAGCTTGCCTGATGTATGTCCATTATGGGGGTATTTCTCACTCGCCAAGTTCGATAAGTGAGCGATCAGAGTATACAATTCGTTTTCAGCGCGATGTGGCACCGCTATGTTGGCGGTTTGCTCAGCGGGTGAATACTCGCGTTTCTCTGCCTCTCTGGCCCGTGCAACAGATCCAGGAGGAGACTCGAAAATAGGTGGTCGGCTCATCATATCTTGAATCATATCATATATAACAAAAAATATTTATCTCGATGGCTCCTTTACGGAATATTCCTTCTCAGGAGCTGCTACTCGGGGAGGTGACCTTCGGGTCACCTAGCGAAGGCCTGTAGCTCTCATGTAGGCTGTTGAATACAACGCGTGGTTTCCTGCGCATCTTACTTTTTTTTATGGGTAATTAATTCATTTTTTTGTAGAAGGGAGGAGAATACGCCATGGAGGACACCGCACCGTAAGCCACAACAAGCGAACGAAGAGCATGCACGCATTGGCTTGGCTTCCGGGGGGAGATAGGATAGCAACAGTGACGAGCCGTCGACTTTCCTGTCAGTTTTTGCTCAGGATCTCCCTCCATCCAAACAAAAACATCTACTTCAATAGAGTAAATGCCCCCTGCAATGCCATTTCCGTGCATCTGTTGCCGCTGTTGCAGCGAAGTGACTGCTCGTAGCGCACACACAATCGGCGTTTCACCTGTTTGTCGCAACAGGAGAGCGTTCAGTCCACGCATGAGCTGAAGTAAATGCATCACATATGCTCACATTCATCGAAAGTCGTTGAATGGGGTGGGCGAGTGAGTGAAAATGAACACAAAGAAGAGGGCACGCCGCCCAGCACGGCGTCGTTGTACAGGAATCAACCTTCGGAAACATGTTGAACTTCCCTCCCTCGCCTACAGTATAGTCCAGATACACGGGTTCGAGTATATGCTTGATCTTATATCATTTTATTAGCCTAATTAGAGTAAGATGCTTCATTACCCTGGCACTTGGACTAGCTTTTCGGCTGGCGGATGCGCAGTTTGGGCGATAGCTTGCTCCATTACCAACAGTCCACGGAGTGGCTGTTGCCTGCAGCCTGAGCTGTTTGTGGGGCAAAAGTAGACAGCGTGGGTCCCACCTGTAGCGCACCTCATCTAATGAGTATGCGTGCTCGAAGCGGGACCCGCGCTGTATACCAAACCGTTGTGCTTGCCGCTTGGTCTCCCACGCTCAAGTATTTTAGTAGATGCATCGAATGTACAGCCAAACATTGCCCCTTCACAGAATAAGATACCACAAACTGAACCACCCTTATCAGTGAGTTGCAAAGGCGCGTGCCAAAGAAACGCCTACACTGAAGATGACCTCATCTTGCGCGAATATGATCAAGTGAATTTAACACCTTCCCTCACGCGAGCTGACTCAGAGCAAAACTGAGAACGACAGATAAGCAACATGATGCCCTCAAAAATGGTTACTGCAAACCCTACATATATTTTTCCTTTTCTTGAATGAGAGGTTGCATATGCATATGGATGTTATGCACAGCTCAAAGAGCCTGGCATTCGTCTCAACAGATCAGTTACAGCCGTCAGTAGCTCAGCATATTATCGTATGCAGTTTCAGCTGAAGAACCCACTCACTGTCAGTGAGTGCAGATAGCAAAGGGTTTTAGGGTATAGGGTTTGGGGTTTAATGTGAGCTTGTACAAGCTTGAGATGAATAAGAGTAATACGCTGCTTCGGCCTCAGGCAGCCGGGAGATATACTCGACTGTAACACCGGCGTCTTCAAACGCGATTTGCTCTCAGGCGGTATCGGCTGCAGAGAGTTGCAACACTTAAAGCACTTTACTGTTGTTCCCTGCCTAGAAGCAGAGGATAAAGGTTGATATACATATATATATATATATATATATATATATATATATATATATATATATATATATATATATATATATATAGGTTGGTTCAGAGTGTAGCCTAAAACAATCGCCTTCCGAGGGTAGAATTTCCTAAGTATCTAAAACGGAACATTGCAGTGCAAATACGAAAACCACTGGATCCTAAACCCTAAACCCTAAACCCTAAATTCATCAGATCATCCCGTCTGCCCCTTGTTGCCCAAATCGCTGTCCGTTCGCAGCCCACATATTAAAAAAAACAATAGCCAGTTGTGCACATTATTGGGGGGTTTTGAACTTGTATTAAATATATTTATAAAGCGGAAAACCAATCGTTTTAGTTGAGGCCCTCCAGAGTGGTGTGTTGTGTGCCGGATTCATCATACGCCTCTAAGTCCATAAACCCCTCATCTTGGCGTTTTGCCTTCGCTACAGCCGCTGCTACTTCTTCTTCAGGCAGCCCAGCAAAGACAGCAGCGGCTAGCTCAGCCCCCGAAAGTTTCACATACTTCGCCTGTCCCTTCGCTCGTCTCCAGGTGCCCCCTACCAGCCTATAGTTGATGCGAGCGGCGAGAGGATACTGAGGAATGCCTTTAATGCTGCTGTTGTTGTTATTGGTGTTGTTTCTTACTGCATCACCGCCCCCCAAGAGAGGCCCGTCTATACTGAACAAGCTCGCTGTTGCTTGTCTTTGTTTTTGGTGCTTTTCTTCGTCGCTGCTTGAGTCCGTACCTCCTTCTGAAGCCAACAACAACCGTTGATGCGCCTTGAATATCTCCAGCTGCTGGCGGCGGCGCAGCTGCCGTTCTTCGCGCTTTTGTTTCTGTTGCATTGCAATGCGGTAATTTCGCCTTGCCTTCTCCTTCTTAGGACGCGGCCTGCATGCAAACAGCTGTGTGTTGCTGCAGTGCCGCTCAAGCCGCGCGGACGGGGCCCTGTATAGGCTGCTGGGGGGACAGGGGGTTGCCCTGCTGGAAGCCGTGGGGCTGCTGTAGAGAAGGAATGACAGCGCGGCCCCCCCAGAGTATTCAGCAAAATGAGTGATAGCAGTAATGCCGGCAGGAGGAGGCAAGGACCGAATGGGGGGCTGTACAGACAGCAGAAGGGGCGCTGCTGCGCACGCCATTGAACTGGTCAGCCAGTGCAGCAACAGCAGCACGGCTGCCATAGTAGTCTTTAGAAGAAAATAAATGCCTCATTCACTGAGACGCGCAACTCCAGTTGCATACCCCATACACCCCAAGGCTTGCCTCTTCACCTCAAACTGCGCCGAGAGGCGGATAACAGCCATGGGCTTGAACAGCGTTACATCCAATGCTGATCATTGCGCAAGAACATATATACAAGAACAACTCGTGATGGAATCGCATACCTACAGAAACAAGAGGAAAACTGGAGGGCCCCTAAACCCTGAACGGCAGGTTCACGAGAAAAAATACACCTCCTGAAGGGCACAATGCTCTACTGGAAGAGAAGTTATGAAATTCTTCGAAGTAATGGATAATTGAAGGAACTTTAACTGCGAACACATAAAAACGAGCACATGATCACGCAGGCGGAGGGGCCCCCGTCGGCTGCAGCGGGGGCCCCTGCTACGCGAGCAAGGCTAACAAGGTCTGAGTAAGCAGCTCCACTGAAATATACTTTGTAAGATCTAAAGTAATGACAATTAAATGGCGTCTTGGTTTGAATTACTTTGCATTCTATTCCATTCCCCCATTTCAACTGTCACGACGCCCACTCTTCCACCCCCCGCACTGTATACACAGCCAGCAGCCACAGCTGAACAGACTTGTATTACTTTAGATCTGAAGGCTGAATGTATATATAAGAGCCGCTCAGTCTGATGGCCTCTCATCATATTGTATTCCATTGCCTCAGACGCTAAATCATTGAGGTTTATTCATTTAGACATCACCGCCGTGCGGTGTTTTGTTCTACCTCTCTCCTCAAGGGTTGTGTCTTTTCCTCTTCTCCTCCAGTTAATTTCAATGGCTTTCATGCCACTGGAGGGAATTAGATCCCCTTAGCCCCTCCTGGATGCATTCCTCTTCTGCTGCTGCCGGCCCCGCCATCTGTAGATGGGGCCTACAATCGAATGCTGCTAACTCAACGCACTTCTTGGCTTGACC